TTGATTTTGAGTGTAATTTTGGTTAATCGTAGATGCTACTGATTCTTAAGAAAATACTATTGATGTCTCTTCTTAACCAATAACTAGCCACTTATCAAGAATTGTGTAATTTTGGTACATTGTAGATGTTTTTGACCTCGGTTCAATTCTTGGAAATGCTATTGATATTAATTGAATTCTGATTTTGGCTGTATCTTTAGTAGATGTGGATGTTATTGACGTTGGTTTCATTTTTGGTCAATTGTAGATGCCATTGATTTTCGTTGCATTTTTGCTCACTTTACTACAAATAGAACAAATTCAATATCATCCTACAGCTATTGATTTTCGTTCCATTTTTCTGTATACTGTAATTGGAACTAGCTTTATGGATTATTTTGTGTACTGATTAGTGGAATAGTGTGCTGTTACTGAGGAACTGGCAGGTCTTATTTGGCTAATACTATTTATTTTACTGGTGTGTTCATTTATGTCTATACCTACATGCATACAAATACATGTACTATATTCTTCTCTGCTATTTAATTATTACAAACTCATTTGGTATTCATTTACGTCAAGTATTCATTATACCTTTATTTTGCCAAGCCTATCAACCACATACAAATATACTTTATGATACATGTAGATACGTCCCATGTGTATATACTCGTGTACATATCATAGCTAGTAAGCTGTCGGTACCGAACTGTATATCTACATATACTCTCAATGAAATCCGCAAGTGTGTTTACATGCGTTCTTGCTCACCAATGGACGCACAAGGTGACTCAAGGGAGAAATTAAAATTTTGTTTATGTTATCATATTAACAAGTGTGTTACTGTATATCTATGCAAATGCACGAGAGTAATACTAATTTTGTTTTATGTTATTACACTCGCAAGTTTGTTACTATATATCTGTGCAAATGCACGAGTGTAATACTAATTTTGTTTATGTTATCAAATTCACAAGTGTGTTACTATATATCTGTGCAAATGCACGAGCGCACTCCTAATTTTGCTCATGTTATTGTTTGATTCCCCTGTAGAAAGTCAAGGCGACCCAAAGGCGCAACTCTTTCTCTGTTAAGAAGAAGAAGAATGCCCAGCAAGACAGCGACTCGAATGACAACTCCAACACATCCACAAATTCTAATAGCAATAATAGTATGAATGCGGTGTTACGGAATGTATCCACATACGATCCACTCAGCAAACGCAGGCCATTAACAGAGCCTGGCAGTATGCAGTCCATCCACAGTGCAGAGCTAGCCTCCCAGGCACGGAGGGCACTCCATGAAGGCGTCATCAAGTCAAAGTGAGTTGTATGTTCACACACATATTTGTTTGAAACATGTATATATATGTGTTCCTA